GGTCGTTCGCACGCCTCTTCTTACGGTAGCGTTGAATATTTACGGCCTCAACTATGACGTCACTCCCCACTAACCCCCTGTGGTGATTGTGCATCTCCTGTACGTAGCGCGCTTACTCTAAAATCTTTTTCCCCAACTTTAGCAAGTATCCTATCTGCACACCTCCCTTCTTTACCAAAAGTATGTAGTTTTTCTCCCTCGGTATCGTATACCTATCATCGACGAAGACGTCACGGGTAAGACGACACCTGGGTAAACATTGGCAGCATTTAAACTTCTTCTAACCGACGCTCCACAGTGTACCCGAGGAAGGCCTATTAAGAAGGCCGAAAACGTTTGTACTCCAGTTAATAAGGCTAGAAATTAGTGAGAAAGGTTTTGTGCTGTTAGTCTTAGAAATAGTTCTAGCTACATATGCATAGTAGCAAAAATTACTTAATTGTACAATACCTTTTGTATGTTTCTTGACATTCTGAAGTAGAACATCTCTACCTTTTTTTACTCCAAGATCTTTGAATCCTAATAACCAATTCAACAGATTAGGCAAATCCCAAACACTTGGCTAATTTGAATAAGGAAAAAAATTAATATATAGTAGAGCAGACTATATTTTTTATTAATATTTAATATAAAAAATTACCAGGATAGAAGATAAAACTAAGTCTACTGCTAAATGATCAAGAGTTGTGATATGATTTGAAATAATAACTTTAACTTGTTTTGCTCTATAATGACAATTCTCTTGTCTAACAACAATTCCCAGAACGAAACTGATTGATCTTAGAACGAACCTGGAAGAAAAACTTTATTTTTAAATTCAAATATCTTTAAAATAGATAAGATAAAAACTAGATACTAGAAATGTGCTTTAGCAATTAACTTTGATTATGATTATTTTAATAAATAACTTATATATTCTAATATAAGAACTATTCATATTTATCATATTAAATGTAATAATGAGCTATTAATTTTAGGAAAAAGTGATTAGCATTCAAAAATGATGTAATCTGATAGTTGTTATTTTTAATTAAACTGTTATGTAAATAAAAATAAGCTTTTTATTAAAAACTCTTTCTCCTTAAAATACTTTTAAACAAAACATAATATAAAACCATATTCTGAATTTTAAATTATATTTCAGATAATTTTAAAAACCTACATAATTTTAAATTTTAAATCTGATCACATCTACTGTGTAATTAGAACTCGGAAATCATTTATATTTCCAATATCAAAACATTATAATGTATTTTATTCAATAGAATAAAGGAAGCTTCAGTTAAAATTTTATCAGAGTTATAGATTAAATCTTAAAAATACTAATAAACTCATCTATCAACATTGAATGCAATTTTGTGCACACTTATAGCTATAATACCAAATGAAAAATTATAGCATTAATTTATATAATGTTGGTATATGTATGTATTATGCTTGTATGTGTAATATATCAATATTTTAAAATTTGTTTTAATATTTCATCATTCTTTTCATTTAATTATTTAAATTTTTGTTCTTTTTTATATTAATTGCTCAGTCTAACAATGACTACATATGCATATATAAACCAGGGTATAAACTGAAAATATTTTCAGTTACATAAATTCATAATTCATTTATGTACAGTAATACCTCAACTTACGTTACCCTGACTTATGCGATTTTCAAATTCGTCTTTTGTTTGAGCACCATACAACTCTTGATTACTCACTCCCCCCACACTATTGTTCAGCTTACATGTTCAGATGTGTCGCACAGAATTGACACATAGCTACAATTTATTTTGTGTTATTTATTTCTATGTTTGTTATATCTACGGAGCCTTGAGAGACTCTATGTGGTGATTTCTTGTAACCGTGAACGAATCAAAAGACAAGATAAGATTAACGAGAACATTTATTAGCTTACATAATCCGACTTGGATTTTACACAAATTGTGAAATTATACCCGAACTTACGCAAATTTGAGTTACGTGGTTATCCTCGGTCCCACCTATCACGTAAGTTCAGGGTATTACTGTATTATATAAATTAAATCTAAAATTAATGAAGAGCTATAACACATTAAAAAAAATTCTATTAAAACATTTAAAGTATAATTCTCTAATGTGGTAAATATTATATTTGTCAAAGACAACTCTTTCTATTTTAATTATGAAATTTTAAACTGTCTTTACTAGTTTATTAGTAAACTAGTAATAAACAACTCTTGAATTCAAATTAGTAAACTAGTAAAGACAGTTTACTAATTTGAATTCAAGAGTTGTTTATTCTTAAATAGATAAATTTTAAAAAATTTATTTCAATTCAGAATTTTTTTTACTAAACACGTCAAATTTAAATTGTTGATTGTAAATTGTTACTACAGTAAGTCGTCATTTAAGATCGTCAATAGGTTCTTGGTATAGGCATTAAGAGAAATCACATATAACAAAACCAATTTTACCACAATAACCACATAAACAAAATATAATTTGATTAATATTATTCTAATTGGATTGCATTTACAATCTCCAGCATTTATTTCCCACCTTGTAGAACTAATTTTACTGTTTGTAAAGAAAATTCAACAACAATAATTGTAGACAAATAGTATGATACTCTCTGTGCCAAATATTATGTAATACAGTCGACCCCCCTATAACACGGGTTCATATAGTTCGGATTCCTATATGATGGCGAAAAAATTGCGACGGTATCCGTACAAACATGGTAAAAAAACTCCTATAATTCGGTAAAACTTCATCGGGCAGCCGAACTACTTTCCGCCATCCAGCGCCACGCTACAGAGAGTTTAGGCGAGTAAGTTGAGTTTACTATCGTCTGTACAGTATGTAAATTAGGTACCATAAGTCTAATACAGCACTAATTTTATACATTTCCTGTGAAAGAAACATTTCTTATTCAATGGCCATAAAAATTATTTATATTAATGATGTCTCCAAATTTCAACAAAGTTTTCGCAGAAAAATAACTTATCAGAAATCGTGGCCGCCATTTGGTGCGCTGCTCCGCGATGAAAACAAGCTTAAGCAATGCCGACGTCGAACTGTGCATACTCGGTAAGTAATCCTACAATTTTTTGTTTATAGCATAGTTTATACGGATTATTCCCAAAATAATATACATATTTTGGAAATGTTGAGTCGAATTAGTCTAGGAATCGATTAATTTTATGGAAGAAAACCTTTCAAACAGCAGTAGTCTGTAAAGTGCATACGTGCATAAGTGCATACGTGAAGAAACAGATTTTAACACTTCAGTGTTAAAATCTGTTTCTTCTGAATGACAATGTTGTATCTATCTAGTACAGTCATTCAGAAGAACTGAATGACTGTACTAGAATGACTGTAAAATCTGTTTCTTCTGAATGACACTTTAGTGTTAAAATCTGTGACACTTCAGTGTTAAACACTTCAGAATTCACAACATTAAACACTTCAGTGAAGATGTTTAACACTTCAGTGTTAAAATCTGTTTTTTTTTTTTTTTTTTAAATGGATGTACTTTTGACCATATAAAATTGCTGAACTTATGAATTTTAAATGCCAAGAATGTTATACTGCATTCTGTTCCGAACGGGAAATGTTCTCTAGCCTAACGACAATGATTTTGTATCATCAAAAGAACTTGTGTTATAAAAAAAAAAAGATTTTGACACAGTCTAATAGTGTGATTATCTAGTATTAAATAATAGTTGTAAATGGTTACAAATGTACTTTTATCTTTCCTTGACAAAATTATAACAAAACAAGATTAAGTGAGGAACTGATGTAAATGCATATAGAAACTAAAAAAAAAAAAAACTCCAGTATAAAAGGCATAAATTTATCTTCTATATCCAATTAGATGCAGTTTCTACATTTAAAAATTTTTGTTTGAATTTATGTTCTTGTTTTTGAACTGTTTCTGTAACGTGAAAATAATTGCTTAAAGTGATCAAAAACAATTGTTTTTCATTAACTTTATGCCTTTTTATGCTGGAGTTTTTGTTGTTTGTCAGCCTTCTTCAGTATTATCTAATTTTTCTGTTTTCTATAGTAAATGCATAGTTTATAAAAACTGTGCTCAATAAAAGTATCATCATTTTCAAGGCTGAATAGAAAAAGTAACTGTATATTAATTCATTTTCAAGACTAATTCTAATTGAAAAATAAGGATAGAACATATACAGTGCTCTTTTTCTAAAAAAAATTACTGCCCATTCATATTTTGGTGATTGAACATAATTTATTATCTTTACCAAGCAACTATGGATACATTTTTGTGCTATCTGCTAGTATGGCATATCAGCTCATTCCAGCCAAAACGGAGCCCTGAATATATGTATTCCAACTAATACACTACTTAATATAAATTAAAAATTAGTAATAATGCATATTAATTTCTCTGTTAATTTCATAAAAATAATAATATATTTTTACACTATTAAAATTAATAATGTAAAAATATTTTAATAAAATAAATTAAGATACTCCATTTTTCTGTGTAGCCATATTTTTTTTATAAACAATAAAAAAAATATCCAGTTTCCATAACTGTACACTTAAAAAAAATGTAAGGAAACAACAAACTTTACAGATTAAATTTGTAAGTTTACATACATCTAAGCAAATAACTAGTTTTGATTTGTATATAAAACTAGCTGTTACTCGCGGCTTTGCCCGCACGGATTTTGCAAGCAAACCTCATTTATATTCAGTATTTCAACAACCATAGTAATTGTTATATAACACCTACCGAGAATGATGAGAATTGCCGAGAATCAAATGAACTATTTTAATTTGAGCAATTTTCTGGAACGTTTACAATCGTTCTATAATCGAATCAATATGCAATAACAAATTCGAATTTAAAACGGTTTGAACATTTTTAAAATCAAAATATATAAAAATATTTATAACAATGTCTGAAATGTTATTAATTTAATACACCTAAGTACTTGATGAAGACTAAATCCTCTCCCTCTCCCCTGCGGGGGAATTTCGAAAAATCCCTTCTTAGTGTGCATTGCCATGGCATACCCTACTATAATGCAGATAATAACAAAAAAATCGCATCTAAAATAGTACAGTAGAAACCGTTGTTCCAGTTAAGTCCTCCCCCTCTCCCCCCGCGGGGGATTTCGGAAAATCCTTTCTTAGTGAGCATTTCCATGATGTACCCTAATCTGTCTACCAAATTTCACGTCTTTAGGTTAAGTGGTCTACTCTGAGCAATGATGAATCAGTGAGTGAATGAGTGAGTCATTCAGTCAGTCAGTCAGGACAAGCAATTTTATATATTTAGATATAGACAACAGAATACTTCAATTTGTAAATAAATATTGAATAGTAAATTTATGTAGCTATTTACTAATAATTACAAACTTTTTTGAAACAAAGTTGAATTTACAGAAAAAATTTATAGCATGTCGGTAGTGGGAACCCTAAACAGCTTATTATGTTAACCCACTCATAGATAAAGTCAAAGTCATTAGTATCGTTTCATTTGAGGTCATTCAATTCAGTGCTAATTTTGGAGGCAAACAAATAGCAACACTACATTGAGGTTTGGCCATATATTTGTCTCCATCTACTTTATTCATTCTTAAAAAAATGTTATTTCTTTAAAATCTGTATAATATAATCAAATAATGAAAATACATATTCAATTAACTTAACTTCAGTTTAAAGTAAAATAAGCATGTAGACTTGTAATATTTTCAAATTCAAAATAAAGATGTATTCTAATTTTTTAATTTTATATTTATATATAAACTTAATTAAAGCCAAACAACAGCAGGATTAAATCAGGTTATATTACCACTACTAATAATTAAATACAGAGTAATTTGGCACTGGTATCAGTAATATAACCCACTTTAATCCGGCAACTGTTTGGTTTTAACGTAACTATCAAATTTAGAGACATTTTTATATATATAAAACACAATTTCATAATTTTAAAGATTCAAATTATGTTGATTTATCTAGCAAGTATATCGAAAGTTAAATTACCTTCTAAATGCTGACGACTTTGGTAAAATGCATGCCGCCAAGAATGCGTGACATCCAATAAAAAATCTCACCACAGCCAACGAAATACCAAAAGGAAAGTAGAAAAATAGAGGAAAATAATCTATTGTTTTCTGAAACCTGCAAAAACATAAAAGAATAGGTTTAATTGTAACATTTATTTAATTCATTTAGACGTCATCTCACAGACCCAATCGAGGAGGCCCCTTTCTTTTTAAGAGGAAACTCGGGCTTCATGCCCAAGTCATTTTGGGCAAAGACAATCTCCACAAGTTTATCTTTATCAATGTCCAAGAAGACATCGTAAACGATTACGCTAGGACGGCACTTCTTGACAGTTGACAGAAGACTGCCTCTTTCAATGCCTTCCTTTCCGTCAACTCCTTTTCAGAGTACCCGGAATCTCTTTGGGACGCGACCTTGACTAAGATTCCGTTCCCCCTAACCTGGTGGACTTTTTCACCCCTACCCTTAACTCAGCAGGGTTGACGTTTTTCTTTACCCGATTGTGGACTGCATTGCCGCTTTCCTTCCTGTCCTCAGGATACATGAGGAGAATGTGTTCCATCAAGGGTAGGGTAGGTTCTTGTTTTGGCTTAGGAGTCCACTTGTAACCTTTACACGCATACCCTTCTTAGCCATCACAAGATTTTTACTCTCCACTCAACCGGGTTTTTTCGAATCGGTCGGTGAGACACGTGCCACCTTCCTCTTTCAATAGAGCTCTAACTATAACAAACAAACAGACCAAAAAACTCAACTCAAAAAATCGGCAGTGGATTCAAACCAAAATGCAAAGAGGAGGCAACCTCTTTGTTCGGCAATGTGGTTACAGATCTTCTCGTTCTGTAACATGGTTGTGGAACAAGGAGGCAACCTTGTTCTGCCCATGCCTGGAGGCACGGGCAGAATGAACCGACACCCAGAGCTCTCTCATTACTGAACCCGCCTCCTCTGGCCAAGACAGCAGAAAACGTAGATCAGCTGCGACTGAAACCATCATCTCCAAGGGAATTTTCTAATGCTTTATGCTTTAGAAATCCGTTTTATGCTGGTGGAAATGAGGCGCCATTCCTCTTTCGTAAAACTTCTTTTACGTACGCTTTATGCACAAAAAGGAATTTTTACTTTATGCATAAAGATTAATTTTATTTGACTGCACACCATAAGATTTAAAAACGATTTGTTCAGAATGTACTCTGGCAGAAAACTCAAACCACTGTCTTTGTGGAACGAGTAGCGTCAGATCGGACGGGCGGTCTAATACATTTTTACTCACCCGGTAATTTTTATAATAGATGCAAGAAATTTAATATGGCTCGGCAACGTGCAGTCTTCTATCATCAAGAACCATTTATCTTAACAAAACGTTCCTTTACATCCGTAAATAGTGACATTATGCGGAAAGAGCAAAATTAATATTTATTCTCGACGGTAAATAGCGTGACTGGTAACAACACAAAATTAAATAAATTACTAACACGTCGCATATTACACTTAACACCACGGCAAATTAACGAAATTATTTACTGTTTTATTCGGATGGTCGACATTCGCGACATTTAGGCGTAAAATACTTCCAACAATTATTAAACGGAGAATTTACTTTTAGATAATCTGTCTACGCATTCGTATACGAGTAAATTGCCTAAAAGTAACTTCTACCCCTTCGCCGGCACAGAAACCGCGGAAGAAAACGGCGTTAAGCGTAAATGATATTCGACGCGGTCTAAACCCGATTAACGACGACGTATATTACTTCCGTACAATTAAAGAGCAAAAACAAAGTAGCTGTTTTGTATTTACCTGTGCAGATGAAACAACTGATCCAAGCTAACTCCCGCCGAACTCATCTTTCCCGACGTGTGTTGCGACACCAATCGAAACGCCCTCTGCCAACGAACGTCGGAATCTATTTAGACCGACGATTAACAAAAAAAAAAAAAAAAAATTACGCCTTATTTTGCACGGGATCCACAATAATTTCCGTCTAACATTGTCATAGTTCGTTCGGCGCTATCGAAAGTATAAACTTTCGCCGGAGATTTCTACACGCGACCGTGACCGAAAGCGAATTTTTAGGTCAACCGAAACAAAAAAGGAAAAAAAAATATATGTGTCAATGTTACAAATTCATTAATAAAACAAGATTTTAATTTATTTCTATACGAATATTTTTACTTACGGAAAAATTTGTATTGGGCGTCGTATATTTTAAGAACGATAATGGAAAAGTTGGTCGTATTTAATTTTCTCTCGGCCGTAATTATAAATATAAAATGAAATCATTTTTCGTTTGTGGTAATTAATCGTCGACATCATCTATTATAAAATATCGTAGATAACAATTCTCGTAACGTCATTTGCAGTTTTTCTCTGTAAATTTTGTAGCCAACCTTTTCTCGCGCTCTATTTACGGCGATGATTCGACGCCGAACCGAAAATTATGAAATGACGATGTTGGCGAAATATTTATCGCCGATAGATAATTGCTAATGTGTAAATATATATATATATACAGTAAGACCCCGCTTAACGCTGATTCGATATAGCGCGGTCTGCTCGAAGCCTAAAAAAAAAACTCAAAATTTACCCTGATTTAAATTATCGCGGCATTTCATTGATTCGTATATAATACGATTATTTGCGAACACAAACCAATCAGCAAAAGATGGCAAAAAGATGTACTTTCTTTAAATCTATGTTTGTTTGATGCAATTTTGGAAAAAAATATAACATATTTTTTCCAAATAGCATCTTATGCTATTTGGATATAATAGAATAGGATGGCATAGGAAATATCGACTTTGCTTAGCAAGAATTAACTAATAATGCACGAACGAAGTGTGGAAGAAGTTATGGCTGATGGTATCCAAGAATTCTCGACGAGAAGAGTCTATCGTTGTATCGTTAGGTTGACCAAACTCGACCTAATCGATATAGCAGGACTAGGAGATATAGACGAGCAGGATATTGAAGAGTTACAGAAGGTTTCTGGTGAGAACCTCACCAACGACGACTTCGAGAACTGGCAGAACATGGAATTCATGTGGAACTGGAAAATAGAGATTCTGAAAACGAAGAACCCAAAAAATTTCTCTACAGATTTCCTTAGTAAAAGTTCGATAACGATAACCAAAATCGTTGATCAAATTGTAGCTAATGATCTAGATTATGAAAGGAGTGCAAAAGCAAAACGATTTGGATGCGATCTTCTTCTACCGACATTTGCTTAAGGAAAGAAAAAAGCGACAAATGAAACTATGCGACTTTACTGCAAAAGAACAAGAATTTCAGAGAAATTAGGACCTTCGTCACAAAAAATGAACTTTACATTTCTGTGTGCATACGTTTATGTGTTATTTAACATATATTATTATACAAATTAATATAAAAATAACTTAAAATTAAAGTAAAATTTGTTTATTTTTCGTCGCGTGTTCNAAATGAACTCTACATTTCTGTGTGCATACGTTTATGTGTTATTTAACATATATTATTATACAAATTAATATAAAAATAACTTAAAATTAAAGTAAAATTTGTTTATTTTTCGTCGCGTGTTCTTTTATCCCTATTTACTCTAAGTTAAAATGATCTCGTTTAACGCTGTTTCGCTTAGCGCTTTGTCGTCTAGGAACTCATCCCCCGCGTTAAGCGAGGTATTACTGTATATATATATATATATGACGCAATTCCGAAGATTACAGTATTTCATTTACCATATTTTAGGGCGTATCGAACGCACCCCCATTTCGTCACAGAATATTTAGTGTATTTAATAGTGTATTCTATCCCGCGTCTTTAGCAGTCGGCCCCAAAATTTGTTCACTGTGTTTTTTGGTTAAAGAAAAAAGTTAGTTAGAATACCCGCTTTTATTTATCGGGGAAAAAACGAGTTTAAAAGAAGCTGTAGCTACGGCAAATTACAATTAAAATACTCGGTTATCACCAGTACGGATAGGTGCAATTTGGGAAATTCGTTAGCCCTAGACTTGGAAGATCGAATTTGGCTTATGAGTCACCGGGCCAGTTTTTCGGCCCGTTTTTTGAACAAAAGTCGCTCTTAAATGTCGTAAAATATAAGAAAAGAAACAAGAAAAGTGAAATTTTTGTCGGCCGTTTAAGATACAGTATTTTTATTTTACATTATAAAATTCTACGACAATTGTCGGTCGTATATTATCGTTAAACCTTTTTCGTAAGAAATCATTAACGTAGTCAAAACGAAGCGGGACGGAGAGGAATATATTTCGGTCCATCGGACGTCCTCCTTTTTCCGGATATTTCGACAGTTTCCGTGAGGAATTTTTAAATTATCGCAGATGTTTTATTTAACGAGAAAACTTGTCTCCTATTATTTATTTATTTATTTTAATTAATATTCAAGTTCTAATTATTATTATTATTACATCCGTTAAGACATGCATAATAAATAATTATGGAAGTTCTAATGGATTACCGATATTTACACGTTGTACTCGGTTTGCCTTAAATCCACTATACGCTTCAGATCCTTAATACGTATATTTTATTATATTACTAAGCTATCCGCAATATCTTAAAAAAAACACGTATTTAATGAATAGATAATTACATTTTTCAAAGGATAGTAAAGTCTTCTTTTGTTACAAACGATTAACAGAGATGGAAATAAGCTCGTAAAATATCTATATATTTACACCGTATTCTTTAGAGAACAAAAGCGCATATAGTTAAGTTGTTTAACAAGATTTCTTACCAAAATTAAAATCCCGTCTGCAAAACTATTACGTCTGTATACGAAGGCGCAACAATTTATCGGCAACGGTAACACATACGCAACTATTGTATTTATTTTTACAGGATTTCGTCTCGATACGATCGGAAAAAGTAATAAATATTATTTGTTGAGTGTTGTAACTTGTAAAATATTGCGACAAAAATTTAAAAAAATGTTTTCATCTTAGCTTTCTTTCTCTTCGAATGATAATAAATTATAAAAAACCGTATAATGTTTATAAAATAAAATGGCACTTTCGACACAAACGAATTAACTAAAATATTCCACACTATACAATTTATGATAATCGTAGATAGAAAGAACAATTATAGATGGTTTAAGATTATTTTTAACGAATGAAATATAATTTTTGATAAATGTTTCGGCTATTTTGTAGATGCCAAAAACTAGAGACGAGGCTTTATTATACGGGGTGTTAAACGGTAAGACTGACCAAACTTCGGGGGGTAATAAAACAACAAAATATAGATGTAATTACCAATACGCTTATTTTTCGAGACGGGGGTTAAAGTGTTATAAAAATGTTCTTTTGCTAACATCTCGCTAACAATATGAGTAAATATTATTTACTCGACATTTCTGTATAGTTTTTCTACAGGAAGCCTACATTTTCCACGTGTGATTTTTTTCCACCGCGACCGGAGATTCGAGGGTGACACATTTCTTTACGAAACGTACAGTACGTGACGCAACCAAAAAACCAGTTACTTTCGACTTTTTTTTTTTAAATCTACGTCGAATTTAGCAAAAAAGTTACTTTTGCGTATCGTGTTTGAGTAATCTTAACTTTTCTGCAGTCCGTCAATAAACAAAAAAATACCGATTGCTAAATTTCGTGTAGATTTAAAAAATATACTTACATACTTAAACTCGGATGGCGGCCTATATGAAATTTATTAAGGTTCTCATTATGCTCATTTACCCGCATATTTGAAAATCGGGACGAGACGGATCTGGATCGGTCTGGATTTTCGAGCTTGGTCGTAATACGAGGTAGGTAATCCTCTCGACGGCCCTCCCGAGATTCGCGGTAATCTTTTGTTTTTCTTATTTGCTTCTGTTTTTCGAATAACAATTTTATAAAACAAAGGTGTTTGGCATAAATAAATTTATTCGAATAATCGTTACACAAAAATAACTACGGTCCACGGAGGAGACGAAGTCTCGAGTATTCGGAAGCCGTATTATTTTGCAGACTGCGTGGTTTTTTCAAGAAAGTTGGAGTTTTAGTTTGTTTTTACTTACGTTTTTATTGTCACAAAGATATAGGCCTACGAATATTTTAATACGGTTAATTTTTAAAATAGGATCGAACCATACTTTAGTTATATTTAACACTTGGCGAAATTCTCGACGATCCCGCCGGACTCCATTGTTTATGCTAAATCGGTATTTTCTTTTAAGAAAAAAAAAATGTAGGTCTAAATCTTCGAAATATTTAAAATTTCATCATTAAAAATGAAATTACATCATATTAGAAAGTACATAAATTATCTTAACTTCTTAGGTTATTGCCGTTATTGTCTCGGAAGATAACAGATATTTATTATAAGGTTATCCGCATTCCCGAGTATAGGATTGCAACTCGGACCGTAAATGACGAAAACCTTCCGCTTCCGTTTCGCAATCCGAGCCCCGTTACGGTATTTGTGTGAAAATTTCCCATTGGCACCGATTAATTTGGATCCTCGGTTGTTTTTAATTACGCGCACCTCGTTTTAACCCGGAGAACTAACGAACCGGCCAATTGGAAAAGCCAGTCGATAAAAGTACAGATGTCAAATAATTATAATTAACAAATCTTTAATAAATATCAATGTATTTTGTTTTGACAAAGAGCGCAATAAAGTTTTAAAAACTGCCAAATATATAAAGGCGTACGAAAAAATACAATAGGTTTCGGGCTGACGATTTCACATTTTCTGGTCGAGTAGCCATCGTAATCTTCTTTTAGCAATTTTCGAAGAAGGCGTTAATGGAGCTGTATTAAAATAAAATAAATAAAAATAAAAGACGGTGACGTAATTAAAAATTATTATTAAGTAATTGTGAAAATTATCAAATAGGATAAATCGTTGGGCGAATATTTCCCGGATAATAATTACGATAATATACCTTATCATTTTCAA